CTAGTAAGGCACTTGTTACTAGAAGCGATGCACTTGTTCCTAGTAGCTTTGAGTTTGACAGACTCTTAGAGACCAGGCAGCTGTGACAATCCAACGACACCTGCGGGGCTTCTTCGTGCGGATCGCCCTCCGCCGACACCGCGCGGCGGTGGTGATCCAGGCGAGCGATTCCGATCCCACGCGATCCTCCGCCCATGTGACCATGTTTTGCTTGGTCCAAAAGATGTCCAAATGACTTCATGTTAACCCCAAAAGTTAAATGGAAAAACTCAATCTTTCCTCTATGTCTCTACATTCTTTAGGAATTTGTCTTGCTTGGTGTCAAAGACAGGCACATAGTCAGGCACATATATATATATATATATTTATTGATATTCGTTGGGGTCGGTGCAATGAGGACCATCTTATTTGGAACATATGCCGACTCTTGACCATTTCACGCAAGTTGGGATTTGGGCAAATAGTTTCTTTGGAGCCTAACATGTTTCCTAACTCCAAAAAAGAACATTCACCAGCTGGATAGCCCAAAAAAAAACTGAGGACCGGCCAGCTAAATTGCTGTGCGGTTCATATTTGGTCTCGTCGACATCTCGTTCACATCTTTTTATCTCTCGACGCCCAGCGCCACGCCGTGGGCTTCCTCACGCGGAAGAACCTGCGTGAAGCGGTGGATGCTGCAGCCCGGAAGCCCACTCCTCGCGTCGAGTGAATTCCATGAAAGAGCTCTGAGTCGGGATCCTGATGCTCTGGCTTGGTTTGGCTCGGATTGTTGGATGGATATTTGTTTGCTTGGGGGAGAGACATTGGGAATGAGTTAAGCAAAAGATAGAATTGAAATCAAAAGATAGAATTGGGAAAACGCACATGGCAACTTTGAAGTACCAAGAAACCGGGTTTCGCTGTCTTCGGAACAAAACGCCCGAGCGAGCCGCCTCCGCCACTCCGGACCCGCAGGTGAGGATTCAACGAATTGCCCGTGCGCGAATGGCCTCCGTGAATGTCGAGGTGGCGTGTCGTTTGGAGTTCAGAGATGCAATGAGATGCATCTATAAGTCGTTCAAACGACATGCATCTGGAGAAAAATTCTGCACTTTTCAGAAGGAGGTGTGGTTTCTTTTTCCAGACCGGCATTGCTTGACATCCGCAGCGAGAATCGCTCTCAGAGCATCGAAGCCAGGCACGACGCCGCTTAGTGCAGCACGCAGCCAAGCTGGTCCGATGTTCCATTCGCACGCCCCTGGCTGATTTTGGACCATGCACTTCATTGGTTTCATGAGGTTTCATGAGGTTTGAGTGCAGTCACGCAAGGTTTCTATGAGGTTTCTGTGGGGTTGATGTTGTCATTGTTGTTGTGGTTGCTGCTGTTAATGACGATGATGATTTCAACAGGCTTCAACGGAGATCGTTTGGAGTCCTGTCCAATGAGCATCCTCCCATGCAAATGAACCTAGTAGCTTATTGTTTCTATTTATTTCTTGTTTCTACTAGCTTCTTGTTACTACTATTAAGGCACTTGTTACTAGTAGCGATGCACTTGTTCCTAGTAGCTTATTGTTTCTAATAGCAAACATTGTTACTACTAGTAAGGCACTTGTTACTAGTAGCGATGCACTTGTTACTAGTAGCTTACTTGTTCCTGTCCCATGCAAATTAAGTAAGAGACTTCCGGGGTCAATCCCTGCGGCCCTACGGCCCTTCGTGGTCGCAGTGTGCCAGGTACATGGCTTGTCCGTGAGGAGCTGACAACTCTCAGGGTCGCCTATGAGCATGAACAGGTGGGTGCATGAACAGGTCTGAGGCCATCACAAGTAGGTTGGAGGCCATCGCTATTAGGTGGGTGCAGATCTGCAAGTCTCTGAACTGTGATGCTGACTGCTCTTCAGGACAACAGAAAGACAACCTTTGTGCTGGCAACAGACACATTTTTTTTAAAGAAAGATCTGACTCTATATTGCATGTCACATCATGTCCATAGGTTCTCTTCTCAATGAAGGAGGCTAGCCAGGATAGCTTTCGCTTGACAGGCAAAGGAGCGAGCTGTCATCAAGATCCAGAGCTGTTGGCGGGGCAGTTTCAGCACTCAGATTGTCTTTGGCCCTGTTGAGTTCGGACAACTTCTTGTTACTACTAGTAACAAGTGCCTTACTAGTAGTAACAGGTGCCTTACTAGTAGTAACAAGAAGCTAGTAGAATTAAGCCTAATTAAATTAACTAATAGCTTCTTTGTTACTACTAGTAAGGCACTTGTTACTAGTAGCTTTTAATCTCTCAGTTTTATTCAGATTCCTAGGATTTGGCCTCCAACCTAGTAGGTTGGAGGCCATTGCTATTCAGACTCCTTGGAAAGACGCAGTGTCATTTAAGATCCATTCAGAGCATGGTATCTTTCTTTTTGGTGTTGCAAGGCTGTGCACGACAGCAAGTGACCAATGCCAGGTGCCCTTTGTGGGTCGCCGGTTAAAACTGATGATACGCAATGACAGAGAGACGCTGGTGTCTTTTTTCTACTGGAAACAGTCCCTTAGCTGTGCTTGGAGTGCAGTACCTGACGTTAGCAAGTGTTATTCTACTTCATCGTTTGTCCCTTGCGTTGCTTTTCGCTGGAAGTTGCCTGACTCCAGGACGGCTCGGAAAAAGCGCATCATGCTCTTCAGAGCTTCCGCCAGCTTGCAGGCGACTTCGGCAAGTCTGAGCTTGGAATCACTTCAGCATGTGTCTATATCTTTCTTCTTGTCCTCCTTTGTTCAACATTTGGCAATAATGGACCTCATGTTTTTCTGTATATGACTGTGCTAGTGGTCTCCTGCTGCTTTCATTTGGTTTTCTGGAGGCCATCGCTATTAGCTTGGAGGCCATCGCTAGTAGAAAAAAAAAGAAAACCAAAGGAAGGAAGGTCTAATGTATTTTGCTCTTAGGTTGAAGGCTTGACCCTGCCGCCAGTCCCGGCCCGCAGCGAACCCGTTCCTCAAGGCCCCGCAGCGAACCGCGGCTGCGACCCGACCGGCGGCGAGTCCCGACCGGTGCTGTGTGGGCCCGGCTGCTGTGGTCTCCGCGTGAGCAATGGGTGGCTTCCCGTCAAGGCCAATGGAAGAGGAGAAGGAAGAGGCAGAGGAGCCCAAAGCGATAATTTTCTGTTGGGAGTGGTCTAGGAACAAGAAGCTACTAGTAACAAGTGCCTTGCTAGTAGTAGCAAGAAGCTATTAGAATTTAATTAATTAAATAGCTTCTTGTTACTACTAGTAAGGCACCTGTTACTACTAGTAAGGCACTTGTTTCTAAGATGTTCTGTTGGGAATGGTCTAGTAACAAGTGCATCGCTACTAGTAACAAGTGCCTTACTGGTAGTAACAATGTTTGCTATTAATTGATGTATTCCTAATAGTTTCTTGTTCCTAATAGCAAACATTGTTACTACTAGTAAGGCACTTGTTACTAGAAGCGATGCACTTGTTCCTAGTAGAATGTTTGAGGATGTTTGTTTGATTTTGGTTCAATTGATTGCATCTTGACGTGTGAGGAGGTCGAGGAAGAGCAGGAGGAAGAGTTCGACGAAGCGCAGGATGAGCGGGAGGGTTTGGCAGAACGACTGACAACCTGCCACAAAACAGAAACCAGTTGTTTGGGGGTTGTCATTCAGAAGGAGAGGGGGATTGGTGGCTGAACATCCAAGGCAGTAAAAACTGAATCTAAACCTGTGGTTCTGAAGATACCTAAACTAACATATCTTGCTGTTTGAGGACTATGAGATTCAACAAATGATGCAGATGGAGCCTGAAGACCAAGAGCCAGTCTTGGTGAGAGTCAGGTGCGAACGAGAGACCGGGCAAAACATCAAAACAATATCAGAACATCATTGATTCAAGAGGATGACATCTTACGCAATTTGTGACAAAGGATCTGTCATTGTGTCTCAGACTTCCGACTTACACACCGAGCGCGGGCTGCGCAGTGTGACTGCCAGGATGGTGAATGGGGACGTGCACAGCTGCGAGGCTTTGCCCTTTGACACGATCCGCCGACTCAAGGCGCAGCTGGCCACTCGCACCGGGGTCCCGGCGCACCAGCAGCGTCTCTTGTTGGGGACTGAACTCCTCAAGGACCGCAGCACAGCTCGGGCAGCCGAGTACTGCGAGCGAGAAGTAGAGATAGAAATTGCTTACTAGTATCGTTCTTGTTACTACTAGTAAGGCACTTGTTACTCGTAGCGATGCACTTGTTACTAGTATCGTTCTTGCTCCTAGTAGCGATGCTAGGAGCCCCTGGTAGCTTCTTGTTCCTAGTAGCGATGCCCTTTGCTCCTAGTAGCTTCTTGTTCCTAGCCTTGTGGCCGTGAGCCCGTGAGGCTTGCTGCTTTTTGCATGTGTTCAATGACTTGTGGGTCAAAGGTGGGATGTAGCACTGCAAGAAGAAAAACGACCAACAGGTTGGCTGAGGCCGAAGAGTGCTTCACGTGTCGTTGAGTGGATGTTTTCGGCCGAGGAGACAACCTATCAAATAAGCAACGGTGTCTGGAAAGAGGGGCATGACATGTTATGGCCAGTGTTAGGAATTTTGCTTCCATCCATTCTCATTGGTTTGAGACCTTTGTTTCGAGGACCAACTGATGCTGCGAGATCTGCACTTCGACGAGGGTGCCCTTGTGGCACTTTGACGCTGCCTGTGCGGAGTTTGTTTGTTGTTTGATACAAAAATAGTTTAATTTACTAGGAGCAAGAACGCTACTAGGGGCTCCTGGCCTTACTACTAGTAACAAGAAGCTATTGGGGGCTCCTGGCATCGCTACTAGGAGCAAGAACCCTACAAGGGGATTCGTCGTTAGATTCTATTTGTGTCCTTCTTTGTGCTCGAAGAGGTACCTCTAGAGTTCAAAGGACTGGTCGAGGTTCCGCACATGTCAGAGTCAGAGGTTTCAAGCTTGAAGGGCCATTGTTAGAGTCATCCTGTGCTGGTCTCTTTTCATCAAAGCGCCACATGCAGTGAACATCAGAGTGGCCAACCATATGGGTGCATTTCCCTGAAATCGCAGTCGCCCCAAAATGAGTTCCAACCTCAGGGATCCTCAATTGCTGTTACTAGTAGCGTCCTTGCTCCTAGTAACTATAGTAGCGATGCCAGGAGCCCCAGTAGCTTCTTGTTCCTAGTAGGAATGCCCTTTGCTCCTAGTAGCTTCTTGTTCCTAGCAGCTTATGACATCTTATGACTATATTTCTCAAGGATAAAACAGACCTGACGAGAACAACACATAACCTAATAGCGATGGCCTCCAACTCCCATCACTTTCCCTCCCAGCTTTCCGTCACTAGGAGCTGTTACTAGTAGCTTCTTGCTCGTAGTACGGCCAGGAGCCCCTAGTAGCGTCCTTGCTCCTGTAGCGATGCCAGGAGCCCCTAGTAGCTTCTTGTTCCTAGCAACTTGCGCCACCACATACTGTACCACCACTCTCAGAGCATCCCACCGAAGAACGCCATAGCGTGACGCGTGGGTTTGACGTGGAGCCGTTGGGTCCAAGGACGGCAGCTACCGGAGTTGACGTTGGTCTTGGGGCCTCCCATCCCCTCCTGGGCCTTCGAACTCGGCTTCGACGGCGACTTCCCCGGTGGCACAGCAGAAAAGGGAAAAACTTGGCTTACTAGTAGTAACAAGGAGCTATTAGGAACAAGTGCATCGCTTCTAGTAACAAGTGCCTTACTAGTAGTAACAAGAAGCTA